TATTGTCATATCTCTCATGAGTGTAACACTCTAAATATCTCCTAATACCCTCCCAAGGTCCTAAACATTATTTAATGCTTATATATGTTCAAAGGATTATAAAAGGTCTTTGCATTATGCTTGAATAACATCAAGTACTCATTTTTATGCTAGAACTCAAATGCTTCATACACCTATACAAGTAACCATACTACACATATTGAGCTACAAGTAGTAGAGAAGGGTTAAAAGTGTGTTACATTACAACTAGGAGTCATATAAACAACCTCAAGAACTACTTTCTCCTTTACTTTGCTCTTGGAGCCTTTCCTCACTTCTCTCACTAGAACAACATGGAATGAGTCATTAACCCAACAAATAACTTAGGAGAGGTAGAAATGTGATTTTAAACCTTAAAATGATATAGAACCACTCTAATGTTCTAAAACCTAAAACCTCTTTAAAATCTCATCTTGATCACCATAACCAAAACATGAGAAAGTGTGTTTGGAATTGAGCTCTAGGAGTGAAGGTTACCTTTCTTACCTCTACAAAATCAGAATGAGAAGGAGATATATCAAAGCTTTCATCTTTTCTTAAAACACTTAAAGGAGGAAAAGAGGTTTGAAGTCGGATGAACAAGAAGAAGTCAAGGGAACATTTTTCCCTACGTGACTTAATCTTCTTTAAATGATTTTTAGCTTTTAGGTAACTTTATTGGTAGTTTACAACTTTATTCTTTCTCCTAATAAACCCAATTTAAAAATACCCTTTTCAATCAGATATAAACCATGTCACCTTCCTGGGTTGGAGTCTTCCCAAGGTAAGAGAAAAGATAAAATCTCCATTTCTCAAAAGGAATGGTCACACCACCTCAATACGGGTACCAAGACTTGCTCAAAAAGGAAAAATAGGAAAGAGCTTCACAAGGAAAGCAACAAAGAGGCATCACCAACTTTGGTTAAATGCGCGGTCCGAAATAGCTTATGGTCATCAACAAAAATCTTAGGCTAAAATGCAAGTCTTGATGCGGTATTATAGAATTCAATTGAGGATTACGAGGAAGAAACCAAGGAGATTTGACCAGAATAGACATCATGTGGTCTTCCCAAGGAGTATTGATAAGACTAGATATTGGGTTGTCTTCCAAAGGAGTTTTGACAAGACTAAATATTGGATTGAAATGATCTCTTATTTTTATTTTAAAATTCAATCGGGTTTAATCGAAACTATCAACCCGATATTCAGGGCGTTAGATCGATACTTCCGAATTTAAAAAAACATGAAAAATGATAAGGCTGCAAAGTATCGATAATTTTCCAATCGATACTTTTAAATTCGAAAGTTAAAATATCATTTTTCATGTTTTTTTAATTCGAAAGTATGAATACTTTTTCAAAAGTATCAATACTTTTGAATTTAAAGAAAAACATGAAAATTGAGAATGTTGCAAAGTATCAATATTTGTCCACAAATATGAATACTTTCAATTTATTTTATAAATATTCATTACATTTTAAGTTTTTAACTTATTTTGTTATGCTCATGATAACGTAGTAGGAAACTCCTTTTTTTTAATGTCCATCGTTTAAGTTATAAGTATGAAACCTTTTATATGATCAAATGTAAGACAAAATATGTTTCTCATGATAATGTAGTAGGTAGCGCCTTTTTTATGTCAATTGTTTAAGTTATAAGTATAAAAATGTTGATATTATGCAAAAGCTAGACAAAACATGTTGCTCATGATAACGTATTAGGTAGCGTTTTTTTTAATGTCAATCGTTTAAATTATAAGTATAAAACCATTTATATTAGCCAAAAGTAAGACAAAATATATTGTTCATGATAATGTACTAGGTAACACATTTTTTTAAATGATAATCGTTTAAATTATAAGTATGAAATTGTTTATATTATGTAAAAGTAAGATAAAACAGGTTTTTCATGATAACATAATAGGTAACATATTTTTTTTATATAAAAGTATCAATCAACATAGATTAAGTATCGGTATTTTATATTTTGAATTGCTTTCTTAAATAATTTATCTCGCAATTCGCTCATAATAAATATCGATACTTCTCCACAAAAATCGATACTTTAGAATTAAAAAAAATATGGAAAATGAGAAGGTTGCAAAGTATCACATTTTTTCACAAATACAAGAGCATAAGTATCGATATAAATAAAAAAGTATCGAACCTTATGACATATGTATCAACATTTTAACTATTGATCATATTCATCAACTTGTTCAATATTTAAAAGTATCGATCATTATCGCATATGTATCGATATTCGATCTTTTTTATCAACTTTTTAATTTTAAAATATTGATCATTACCGTATAAGTATCGATATTTTAAATTTCAAACGTATCTTCAACTTTTTTAATATTTAAAAGTATCGATATTTAAAATTTTGAACCATTTTTTTATTTTTTTGGCGCAACCTATTTTATTAATAATAATATTAACATAACATATAACAACATATTTCTTAATGAACCATGACATTCTTGGGTGCAACTTATTTTATTAAAAAATATTAACATTACATTACAGATCACAACTTATTTTCTTAGTGAACCATAACATTATTGGGCGTAACTTATTTTATTAATAAAAATATTAAGATTACATATCGCAACATGTTTCTTAGTGAACCATAACATTATTAGACGCAATTGTATTTCTTATATATATTCATAACATTTTCAACTTTTACTTTATTTTTTAGCGTGAGAAAATCCAATGCTCTATCAGCTTAAACTCTGATAATATTTTAGGCGTAACCAATTTTATTATTAAAAATATTAAGATTTCATATTGTAACATGTTTTTTTAGTGAATAATGACATTCTTGGACGCAATCTATTTTATTAATAAAAGTATTAACATTATAGATTACAATCTATTTCTTGATGAAACATTACATTATTAGGTGCAATCGTATTTTTATATATTCATAATATTTTAAGCTTTTAATTTATTTTATTATTATGAAAAATTTTAATATTTCATCGTCTTAAACTCTGATAACATTTTAGGTGTAACCTAAATTATTAATAGTATTTATAATATTTACTATTTATAATTATTTTAGAATTCATAACATTTACCGTTTATAACTCATTTTATTATAATACAAATTATTATATTACTCCGACTAATAGTTTTTTTAATTTCAGTTTATAACATTAGATAACGCTTTTAACTTGTAACACTTTTTATTGCCGTTTATTAGTCTTATTTTAGACCTTCGTAGAACCTCCCCATAATACGTGGAAATCAAAGATGGGAAGCCAATAGTGAGTCAACGGTCGTTCTTGCCGCCGACGGCCGACCCTTCCCCAGAACCGAGGCGCGTTGGGATATTTTTATCATAAAATTGTAGAAAAATGCTTCAAAGAAGTCGAAAACCTTGAAGACAAAAACAAAATAATAATAAATCAACAAAGGCGGGAGCGATGCGTTTTGAAGAATCCAAATTAACAAAACAAATGGACTGTTTTGCAGTCGGTGGAGACAAAACCTCCATGCCGGCTTTTTTCCCTCTTTCTTTCTCTATTTCTCGTCTTTCTCAATCCTCACAAACCATCCTAAAACCTAATTTGCACCCATTAACTAGAATTAGCATCTTTAAAACATGGGTAAATTGTATGGTCGATCACTCAATTATCTTATTACTCTTATTTTTGTCAGTGAAATTTAAAAGTTTTCAATTTAATCATTTAATTTTTGAATTACTCGTGTTTTGATCGCTGAAGTTTATTTTATTAATATTTTGTATGATATGTCATTTTCCATTATTATTTTATTCATCTATGATTTAAAAATTCAAAATCATAATCTTACCATTAGTCTCTCTGTCCCGTCTATTCCTTTTCGGCAATCCTCTATCCACCACCGATACCACGCCTCCCCTAAAGCCTAAATCAATTTAGTGACAGATAAAAACCGAGACAATGAACAACTGTGGGTTTTACCTGGCAATGGCGGTAGCTCAGTTTGTTTATGGTGGATCAAATACTTTTGTTGGGAAGAGTTCAAAGCAATGAAGATAATACACATATATGGAAACTTCTTGTTTTCTACTGGAAAGAGTATGCTTGCAAATGGCTATTCTAATCAGCCACCACATTTGCACTGTGACTTGGATTATGGTATGGAATGAAATCACATAACAAAAGTTTTAAGAAAAATTATACTCCACCAGTGCTACTTTTAATCGACTCTGTTTTTACTGTTTTACAGCACGCTTCGGTAACTCATCAACACCGCCAAATTCATGTATGCCTCCCAAAGATAAAAATCGTCTCTTTCTTTTGTTTTCTGAACTCCATTCTAGATTCATTTCACAACTCTAAACTCGAGTTCAAATTCATCCTTTTTAAATTATTAATAATCTTTTACAATGAGCAAAGATGCAAAATTCAAGCTTCCAGAGACATCGACCAATTCATTAAATATTCAGGCCACCTTAAACCATAATAGCTAGTAAATGACCAATCTGCTATCTTTTATTATTACAACTGTTTCCATTGCCACCATGATAACACACAGTTAGATGATAGTAGATCACCCCATGTGCTTAGGGTTCATGTGGATGTACAAGATTAGACAAAATACTGTCCCCGTTCATTTCATTAAACATTCACTTGTCAACAACAAAATCCATAAACTTATTGACACATCCCAGATTTACAAAAGCGTAAACCCTGTAATCATCTTCCTGTGTCCCCCCCCAAAAAAAAAGCTGCTTCATAACTAAAGATTCCTACTTTATTTTCCCCCAAATAACCATTTCATCTTCTTAATACCTATAGTCAACCACTGGCAGATGAGCAAAGTTGAGAGTCAATATGTCCATTCCTGAGGTAACCCTACTGCGTGATTTATTCCTTGATGTTGCCTGAAATTGCGTTGCTTTTGATTGCCAAATACATTCTCACTTCGAAGCATCCTCAAAGCAGCATCTGCAAATATACAACAAAGTCAAAAAAGAAATACATACAACTATAAACGTAAAACCTAAGTAGATTGACATGATTTTGTACCAGCATCTGCAGTGAAATTTGGGTTGAAACGAGGATGAAGTTGGGGTTGGGCGCCAATTTCATCTAGATTCAAGTTCAAGGCCTGAACAACTCGTGCTGGCAGCAGAACAGTAGGACAAGCTGCCAAAATAATCAAGATAATAAAAACAAAATCAGATACTGATAAAGAAAAGACAAAGAAAGTAATGCATTTGTATGAAAAGAGAAAATATTAGAGGACCTGGCTTCTTGCGGGGTTCAGAAGGTGCACCAATACGGCGAGGCAAGAAAACACCAGTTCCAGCACGTTCCCTTTTTGCAGTTGGATTGTTCAAGTAAACAGCTTGCATACCCGACCCGTTTGTCATCCGGGTTTGCTGCTGAAGAGGGAGGCATGCAGATGGTGACAAACCCATAGGCCTATTAGTACCATTGTTGCTCCTCACTCTGTTTTGAACCACATGGTGATGGTGCTGCTGTTGATGTTGCTTTTGTGCATTTAGTCGTTTCATTAGCTGCTGTTGCTTCAGTATCTGAAACTGCGAACAAAAAAACGAACAAATTTATATAAAAATCCACGCTGAAAGAAGCATTTTTATCACTGTTTTGAGGTTTTTTACTTGAGCGGCCTGCAGCTTCTGGTGAGAAAGTGTTTGGGGAGGCTGGTAAAAGCCGGAAACATCGATATTTTGAGAGATCTTTGTTGCCGGCGAATGCAATAGACCTGTGTTGTTGAATCCGCCGTATGCTTTTTCATTCACGGGCATCCTATCAACCTCCCCTGCCGCCGCATACAACAGATCCCATGTTCCCGGCGGCGACGAAACCCGAGAATGACAAGTAGGGCTTCCACGGCTAGACCCTTACATGCAGCTGCAGCTGCTTCTCAACGGACATAACGTAGATTGCGGCGAACTTGGCAAGACCCAACGATAAAAACAAAATAAAAAAACTAAAATAAAGTACATCAATTATCACTCAACTGTATTTTCACTCGTATTTTAATCATTAAAATTTAATTTTTTTATTTAATTACTTCACTTTTAAATTACTTATAATTTAATTACTCTAACTTTTAAAATTATTTTTTTTTATTTTATAATAATAATATAAAAAAATTATCAATTCAAAAATTATTATTAATAAAATAAATTAGAGTGATCAATGCCTAAACAATTTGAATGTTAAGTAGTTAAATTAAATTTTTTTAAATTTTAATAACTAAAATTAAGAGTAATAAAAACTTTAAATGATGTAATTTACCTATAAAAATAAAAATTTCATCAAATTGTTAATACTTATATTAAAATAAAATAAAAATTAAATATTATATATAATTTTAATAATAAACAGATAAAAATTAATAATTTAAGTAATAAGCATACAATTTATCCTTAAAAAAATTATTCACAAATGAGCAAAAAGGAGAAGGTGGCGGTGGGGGGTCGAGATGGGGATTTTTTAGTGATAAAAAGCAAAGAAAGAGAGAATAGCGGAAAAAACCAGGATGAGTTTCCCACTCGCTTACGAAGGAAGGTTTCCAACACGCGCCCACTATCTTGGTGGGGTCCACGTATGGAGTTGCAGGCTTGTAATCCAGGTAAGTGGGGCCCAATCCATTTTCTAATTCTTTAGAAAGTTTTAGACTTAAGGCTAATTAATTTACTTAATCAGAAGCGAGAGATAATCCTAAATTGCACAATTATTTTAAAATAAAATGTCATTTTCTGGAGGGCTAAGCTTTCCACCTGGCAGTCCAGGGATACACTATAGCGTATCTCCCAAAAATAATCATATTTTATTTTCTCATTTAAACTTGATACCGACTTTCGTTTGCGTTACAAATTTCATTATCCAATCACAAATGAAGTGATTGAGATCTTAAATACAAATTTTCAATATCCATATAATTTTGATTTGATAAGTTCATTATTATTTTTATTTCATTCTAATTATTTCATTACCTTTTATTTTAAAATTATATCTAACATAATCATTCACTATTAAAAAGTTAAAAGTCACATTAACGCGTCACTATAAGTTAAAAATTTAAAAAATCATGTATGCGATTCTGTTAATCTTTTAATAACATATAATTAAAATGAAATTAAAACATAATATTAGATATGATTTTGAAATAATAATATTTGAGGGATCAAAATAAAATAAAAATTATAATCGGGGTTAAATGTGTAGTTTATTTTATATTATACTTTTATTGAAAATCTTATTTTATTTATGTAATTGATGAACAATAACAATTTTCAATAATTTACGTATTTGTTACTTCAAAAAGTTTTGAGCGTAAAATTCTCTCTTAAATTATATTTTCATTCGGGTAAATTTCTTTTTTCGTTAATTTTTCTTTTATTGTTATTTGATAAAAACTTTTTTTTTACAAAAAAAATGATAAAAAAAAAGTTTAATGGTCATTCATTATGATACATAAATATAAAGTAATAATTAATGTATTTAAAAATAATAAATAAGATAATAATTGATTCGATCGTAACTCTTTTAAATTATATTTTAATTCGGGTAAAGCTTGCTTTCATTAATTTCTCCTTTTATTGTTATTTGATAAAATTTTAATGTCATTCGTTATCAGTAACGGATACAATTTTAATTCTGTAATTTAAATTTTTAATATCAGTTATCTATTTTATTATCGTATCCACATTAAAATTTTATTTGTATATATTTTATAAAATATTTTTAATAATTAATATATATGTATCCACTCTTAAATACTTTTAGATCTGCTACTATTTATTACTTTTTATAAATATAATATCTACAATTATTGAATGAGTCGTGCACATATATAAAGTAATAATTAATGTATTTAAAATAGTAGATAAAATAGTAATTGACTCGATCTTAACTCCTTTAATTCCTCCTGCTTTGGTATTTTAACAAGTTGTCTGGATATTTGTGTTGAATTAATTAATTTTCCTAATTATTGTACTCATTTAAATTGATTTATTTTATAATTTGTTTATTTTTGTATGCATTACTGTTGAGTTAATCGAATGACGAAATTGGCCAAGAGGGGGGTGAATTGGCAATAAAAAATTTGTGGAAGCTTTTGCAGAAAATTGAAAGTAATTGCACAGCGATTTACAGTGGTTCGACTTTCTCAAACAAAGTCTACGTCCACTACCTTAGCTATCCACACTAAGGATTTTCCAACAAATTCACTAATTTGTTCTTTCTTTTGAGGCCAAAGAGATAACCTTACAATTCCCTCAAGAGTATACCCCAACTCTTGAGAACACTCTTTTCTCAAAGAGAAGATTACAAATTTGCAAACTTACAAGAAAACCTCACAAGGTAAGATGTTTGCACAATTCTAGAAAAAAGAAAAGAACACTCAAATATGAATACAATTGAGCACAAAAAGTGTTCTTGAAAGCAAAATGAATATTGAATGAAAATAGGCTTGAAATGCTCAAACTTTGCTCAAACTTGAGGTTTGATGCTTTCTCTTTGATTCTCTCTTGATTCTAGTTGCTTGATGTTTCTTGTTTTTGATCAATAGCTTCTAAGCTTGCTTAAATACACCTTGGATCACTTCTGAACGTTGGGGATGATTAGAGAAGATATTATAGCCGTTTTAGTGTGAAAACATTTAATAAAACAGCTTGGAGCGTGGGGAGAATCGGTTCCTCCTCATAGGGAATCGGTTCCCTAAGTGTAAAATTCAAATATTTCGACCGTTGAACAGGGGGGAATCGGTACCCCCTTGGGGGGGATCGGTTCCCTCCGAGCATACTGGAATTCTCGGAAAAAAAATGTTTAGGGGGGAATCGGTTCCTCCTATGGGGGAATCGGTTCCTCCTATGGTGGAATCGGTTCCCTCCGAGCATTCTGGAAATCTCGGAGCCAAACCATTCAGGGGGGAATCGGTTCCTCCTAAGGGGGGAATCGGTTCCCTCTGAGCAATCTGTAATTTTTGGCTTTGAATTGGTTCGAAATACTTTGTAAAATTATTTTGAAATTGTTTTATGATTAAAAATTAATTTTACACTTAAGTACGGATTAAAAATGATTTTTGAAATATTTGGAGTAATGTTTTGATATTCGAATAGTTATATCGAATATACTTAGAAAATCATTTGGAAAATCTTAAAATCCATTTAACTTAATTTGTTATATCGAAATATTAAAATGTTTCAACAATCTCCCCCTTTTTGATATAACAAAACATTTTAGTAATTTTAAGATTTTTGAAATCAAGTTTTGAAATTACTCCCCCTTACTTTAACACTTCTTCAATTTATCATGTAAAACATTTAACACCTATTCTTCTCCCCCTTTTTGTTAAATCAAAAAGACATTGTAAAACAAGGTTTTGAAATTATTTAGCCAATTGATTTATTAATTATAAGCTTAAGCTGCTAAGATCACAATCAAAAGAGAGGTTAGCCATTAGTTTAATAAATCAATATTCATAAATAATGTGATATGGCAAAATTGGTCATATTGCTAATGATGATTTAAATGATGCAAAAACGAATAAAACACACCAAACATATAAGTTCACACTATCCATAAATCCAAAAATCCAACAATCCACAAAATCAAACAATTCAAAATGTTGAAACAATATTCATTTTGTTCAAAGTTTTAAAGCTAAACATAAAATCAAGCATCCGGATCGGTAGGAGGAAAACGGGCTCGCATAGCAGCCATTTCATGAGTTAGTTCATTGATACGAGCGTTGGTTGATTCATTGTTTGCACGCATCTCCTGAAGAATCTCTAATTGTTGAGCTCCCATTGTGGATAAATGAGACTCTATAGAGGAAAAAGCGCGAGTCCATGGTAGCGTATCGGAAATCGAATGTCTCCATAAAGGATTGAAAATATGGAGGCATTTGATGCGTTTGTTGTGCTTGCTCCTCGGGCTGCTCTTCGGGCTGATCAGGCTCATCTTCGGCTTCATCAATATCTTGCATTAATTTCTCAAGCTCGGGATCTTCGTCAGCTTCGGGTGGAGCTTGTGAAGAACTAGCTCCCGGAGTAGAAGATCGAACCCATTCACCGGTTTCTTTGTTCTTTACCCATCCCGCTCTCGTTAAGGAAAGAAGATTTATTTGTTTCTTAAGAGGAAAAACGGCATCTAGACCGACTCTAAGCCCAGCTTTGGAAAACAGATTACTCAAAAAGCAACCGTAAACTAGAGATGAACAGTGTTTCTTGTTAGGAACAAGATTTACGGTTTCAACAATTTCAGCAAAAATAATCTGAGGTAGGTTAATTTTAATACGGTTTTCGAAACAATGTAACCACCAAAGATCCAAAGCTCTAAGAGTAGAATAACGACCTCCGGATGGTCGAAACCACCAAGAAATCATTAGATGAAGAAAACGCTCATGTAGGTCTAAGACACTCGCACTATCTCTTCTTTTATAACGAGATCCTAAAATTTGTTTTTCATTCGAAATACCATCATTATCTAATCCAAATGTATTGGCTATATATGCAGGGTCAATATATAAGAATTGTCCTAGGAGGTAGGAACGAATTCCTATGGTTTCGGTTTCAGCTTGTTTTTTAACACATACGGCATTAGAGTAGAATATACGAACAAGTTGATGGTAAACGATGGGTTCAAGATCAAATAGTTTATCAAATTTCCATTCTTGTAAAATGGGAAGATATTTAAAATTGATAGCTAACATAGCTTGACGAGAAGGAATACGTTCTTCCCGGATTTTGTAAGAATCGAAATATTGATAATACCAAAATCGGTGATTTCTAGA